GGTGCATTGTTGAGCCCGAATGGCATCACCACGAACTCGCAATGCCCGTAACGAGTCCTGAACGCTGTCTTCTGGATATCCTCATCACGCACCCTCATTTGATGATATCCAGATCTCAAATCAATCTTGGAGAACCAAGACACTCCCTGCAACTGATCGAACAAATCGTCGATCCTCGGTAAGGGGTAACAGTTCTTGACCGCCAGCTTGTTCAACTCCCGGAAATCAATGCACATCCGGTGTGAACCATCCTTTTTCTTGACATAAAGGATCGTCGCTCCCCACGACGAGCTACTCGGCCGTATAAACCCCTTTCCCAGCAGCTCCTGAAGCTGTGAGGATAACTCCTGCATCTCTGGAGGTGCAAGGCGGTAGGGCGCCTTGGCGATAGGCGCTGCCCCTGGAACCAAATCGATATGGAATTCCACCTGCCTCTCAGGAGGCACACCCGGCAACTCCTCGGGGAAAACATCTGGGAACTTATGCACTATCGGAAGCTCATCGACCGACCTCGATCTCTCTACACATACCCTCGTATCCACCACATAAGCCACAAACCCACTACAACCCTGTTGTTGACTCTGCCTCGCTCTCACGGCTGAACAAAATGCTGACCCAGAATGGGTACCCTCGCCATAAACCAAAAGAACTCCCCCACTAGGATCTGGAATGGTCACCAGCTGTCGCTCGCAGTCGATAACTGCTCCAAATCTGCTTAACCAGTCCATGCCCACGATGACACGGACATCCCCCATAGCAATCGGGACCAAATCAATCGGAAACTGAACGCCGAAGATCTCGAGTACACATCCTCGAATCACATCAGTGGCATACACTGCTCTCTCGTCAGCTATGGAAACTCGCAAAGGTCAACTCAACGCCTCTCGACAAATAATGATGTGCTGACTAAAGGCTAATGACACAAAAGACCGACTCGCACCCGAGTCAAATAACACCAAACCAGGTACAGAACACACAAGAAATGTACCTACGCATATCAAAATATAAGCATAACACCACAAACTCAAAATAAACATATGAAAGAATACATACCAGCCACAACATCGGGTGCTGCGCGGACATCCTCCGCTGTCAACTAGAAGACTCTTCCACGAGCCTTCGGTGCCTCGGCCTTCACCAGCTGACTCTCTGTAGCTCGAATAGCAGCATGGGCAGATCCCTGAGCTGACCTTCGTAACTGCGGACACTTGGCCTTCCGGTGTCCGGTCTGGTTGCAGTGAAATCAAAATGCAAACCCCTTGGGGAAATCCTTGGTCATGTGCCCCTCCTTGCCGCACTTGTAGCAAGACCCTGCTCTGGATACCCCTCATGACTCTTGCCGCACTTGCCACAAGTGCGGACCTTCTGGGTCCCTGATCTCGAATTGGCGGGCTTATCCCGCTTGGCAGCCGGCTGGGACTGTGCCGGTCGCTGATCCCTCCCCTGAGACTTCACCTCCTCCCTGGACTGAGTCTCTAGCTCAATCTCCCTCTTCCGGGCATTTTCCTGAAGCTCGGCAAATGTATGGTATCTCGAGTTCACCACGAACTCGCGGATGTCTCTCCTCAAAACACTCAAATACCGAATCATACGTTCCTGCTCGGAAGACACATGCTCAGGGCAGAACATCGCCCTCTCATGAAACATCCTGGTGATCACAGTAACAGACTCAGTACCCTTCTTCAGGGTCAAAAACTCCCGGGCCAAACGCTCCCTTTCCACCAGGGGAACGTACTCATCACGAAACATAGCGGTGAACCTCTCCCAGGTCACCGCAGCAAGCTCTGCAGAAGAATAGTGCGCTGTCACAAACTTCCACCAGTCCTTCGGCCCCCAAGCGAAGCTGGTTCAGCGCGAACCGAACTCTCAGATGCTCCGGACATGAACATGTGTGGAAGCATCCCTCAATGTTAGAGATCCACCTCATTGTGACTATCGGATCCTGAGTCCCATCAAACTCTAGTGGCTTCGTGTTGCTGAACTCCCGATACAGCAATACGTCACCCCCCCTGCGGCCTGGCAGCAACAACGACTGCAGTGGCTGCAGCAACAGCAGTATTAGTAAGAGCAACATACCGCTCATCAAAAGTCTCAATCAGCGTGGTCTTGATAGACCCGAAAATCTCTGGAATCTCAGCGCGGATGGCCGCAGCTACCTCATCATGAATCATCTGGCAGAGCTCCTCATTGCTCACACTCCCCTCACTAGTCCCTAGCCTGTGGCGTGTCCCAACCATGATGTCTCTCTGAAACACAAGATATCAGAGACTCGCTCGAGTGTACACACACTCCATATCCCATTCCTAGTAGATCCCTGGTACCCTAAGGATTCTTACTTCGGTTGCGCACTGATCCGGTGCCTTCGGTAGTACCGGACCAATACTACCGTCCACACCGCATCAATATTCACCCCAAGTCCTCCTCCTTGGATCCCAAGTCCTAAGTACTCTACTCTCTCTATACAAATTCTACTCTCTAGCAGATATCTCATAAACTCCTCGTTGCTATCTATTCACTCTCAAGCATCTCTTAGCAGCAAAATCCCTAGGCTAAGGCATCACAAATCAGGCCACTCTAGTCCTAATAAGAATACCTAGCCTACTCTAGCATGCATATTATATCATAATATATCTCATAACTCATAATGTAAGGATATTTTGGGAAATCACCATTCGGGCATTGGCTGATCTTACACACTGCTCTGCTCTGCTCTTTCAAAAACTTTTTACTCTTGAGAAAAACTTTGTGAATTTTATTTTGAAAATTCCTCAAATCCTCAGTTTGAGTTCAGATACAACCGAAGGTGCACCCGAATCCCTCAAACCAAGGCTCTGATACCAACTTGTAACACCCAAATTTTCAAAAAAATTTCACAATGTTTAAACATACTTTCATTCATAAAATAATAATAAACATAGTGTATCCACTGTCATCATAGAAAAACATATCCCAGAATCATATAAACAAAAGCTCCATGAGTGTGTACAGGTCATGCCGGCGCCTTCCCGCGATCATCACTAGTACCTGACACACATACACAAAACTCTGTAAGCATAAATGCTTAGTGAGTTCCCCAAAATACCACATAAACACATATCAGCCACTTGAGGCTGTAACTCTGATGACCCTCTGGTCGAATATCTATGTGGGACCCTCTTGGTCCCATAACTCTATGGACCCACTGGTCCTAACTCTGTAAACTATGAATCATGCATATCACATATCACATAGAATCACAACACATAAATAGCATACAAGATACATTATCACATAGCTCTATTTACCACTCTAGGTAAATTATAGTGAGAAGACTCACCTCGGGAATCTCGGTAATATCTCGATATCAGAATACTGCCCTAGCCTCCGCCTAGTCACAATAATAAATTTCACTAAATCACAATTTGGATATTCTCTCATGCAAATCCCTAGAAGGGTAAAATACCATTCTACCCCTCTACAAGCCTAAGGCCCATTGGTTAACAAAACCCTAAAAGTAAACCCAAAAGTCAACTTCCAGTTTGACTAGAATCGCCGAGTGCATACGACGACTCAGCGAGTCCCATCGTCCCAAGGAATCTTTCTTTTTCTAAGCCTCACTCGACTCACTGAGTCACCCCTCGACTCACCGGGTCACCACTAGAGTCAGACCCTGGGGCAACCCGGTCCGACTCGTCGAGTCTACATATGGACTCGACGAGTTTCCTCCATGGACTTGCTCATACAACCTCCTGAGGTCAGATCTGCTTAGCCAAATCATAGATCTAACCCTTAAACACTCAAAATTCATGTACAGGTGCAACCTTTACGTGCATGCAACCCAATTCAAGACTCAAATGGAGAAATAACACTATAAATGGCAACCTAGTCTCCAATTGCTTATTTTCTAACATAAAGCTAGAAGGTAATGACTCTAGGGACCTCTCATGGTCCAGATCTGATGTCATAATCCCAAAGAGGACCTCATACTCACTAGATCTTCCATAAAATGAGGGTAAAAACCCTAAAATCAAGAAGTCCATCAATATAACACGAAATGGAAAGGATTATACCTCCAAAGATGATATCACGAGACAATTAGCTCAGATCCAGTCCCCTTCACACTCTAGATTTGTGTTCGTATCTTCCTTTAAGCAAAACCACATAAAAAGATGAAGAAATAGCCTCCTCTTGCCCTCAAACTCACTATCTCGGCTCTCTAGTGCTTCTCTGGAACAAGGTGGCCGCAAATGAAGGCCATAAAGGTCTTTAAATAAGCTCCCAAACCCGGGGATTAGGGTTTTCCGAATCAGCACCGACTCGGTGAGTCGAGTCCCAACTCGTCGAGCTCGATCACGAAAATGCACCAAAAGATCAGACTCTACTCGACGAGTTGAGGCATCAACTCATCGAGTTCCTCAATAAAACAATAAATAAATTAACACACCCGAATTCAGGATGTTACATTAGACTACCAACCATGGAACTCCTAAAAACATGTTCTAACTCATGACAATCTGTAATTTCAACTCTTGTTAGGTTTGGAAACTCAAATACCATACACCGATTGCTCTTCCATATATACCTGAGACTAGGTAGCTCCTCCAACTCCACTTGTGTTAAGTTTGGAAGTTTGACAAGATGAGTTGTTTGTGGTTCATCAAAACCATTGTTTGTCCCTTCCAACACTTCAAACACCTCCTCTACATAATAACAGCAACTTACATGAATCTTTTCCAGATTTTACAGTTGTAAAAACTCATTCAATGGAATAATCTTTTTAACATCATGATTAGATTCCACACGTAATTCGATCAGATTATGGAAAGACCAAATATTGATCTCTTCTGAAGTAGCAGCAACAGGGCACAAGGAGCTTCTACTCTCTAAACTCGGGAATGGGGTCTGCAAGGCCAAAAACGAGAGAATATTTTATAATAAACAAAAACATTTGCAATGACATATGTTAACAAAATTAGCAAAAGTAGCTATCAGATGATAAATGTGAAGAAAGTTTATACCTCCTAATGCAACCCAGTAGTTGTGGTGGTTGTCACTTGAGAGTTAAACCCATGTCCAGAACTATGCTTGTCTAACTTTGTTTGCACATACTTGAGTTGTGGAGCTATGTACCCACCAGCTGTGAACACCTTCATCTTTGGGCAACCATCGATGGTAATCTCATCCAAGAATAGCCAGTGGAACTCCTTCGTCCCTAAAAAGAAACCCACAAGCTCTGCCTGATCCACTAATTTAATAGTCTTTAAACAAGGACAGAACACAGGCTTAGAAGATGATGTCACACTGTTGTTTGCTCTCCATCATCTACTTCCTTCACCACAATCACTTTCATTGACTTGTAGTTCTCTATCCTTAACTCTACAAGTTGTACGAGGCTTTCAAGTGTGGAAAAAGTGAGCATATGCTCCAAAAGGCCACATTCACTAATTTCCAATGTCTTTAGGTTGGGAAGTTTCAGGGTAATAACACTTTTTTTGATCCCTCGAGTTTCAAACACCTCCTTCATCTTGTCACAAAATTCTATTTTTAGGACTTGAAGCTTTTGCAGCTGTCCTGCTGCATACCATGGAATCACACTTGATAATGCATGGCACTCCATTATGCTTATCTCTCTAGAGTATTGACATAAGGTCAAAGAAACATTACCCCCTTGAGAAAACTGCATTAAATGACAAATTAGTTTAATTATTAACAAAGCTTAATTCTTTAATTTGTTTCCCAGGCTTACACTAGCTAGTTTATAAAAGTAATTTAACTCAACATTTGGTTCCTTGTAAAGAAATGGCTCAGTGCTCAACATCATGAAAGATATGTAGCCCATGAAGTTGAAAAGATATTCTAATGTGGGGCTAAAATTTTGGAATGGAACATTAACCAGGAAAGAGAGCATATTTTCTACTTGAAATGAGGAACAACCTCCCCAATCGCCAATGATTTTGTAATATTTTGGATGATGATAAGATGTTTGTGTATAAGATATATAATAGGAGGAGGGGTAATATATATCATTAGTTGTTGAATATCATGCATAAAATAAAACAAAACTAAGTTTATAAATTAATTTAAAGAAATTTATTGACATTTTGTGTTACTTAATAGAAATGGGAGTTTCATATTGTTGGAAATACATATACACATACATGAATAACTCCGAATCCAATTACAAGCTGTAAAATTTCAATCTCTTGTAGGTTTAAATGAATGACACCTTTTATACCTTCTAATCTATGGTTGGGTTTGTATAGCAGCTAATGAGTTGATTACATGCTCTAAATTTTTTAATATCTTATTGGTGGTTAATTTGTTGATTTTTTCTAGAATATGATTAGTACATGGAGAATATTCCATAGAAAAAATGGATTTTAGAATAGGAATTAAATAAGTAGCTGAATATGTTGAATAGTGTTAAAATTAGACAATCATTTTGTCAATTATATTTGTCTTTGGGTTTTTTTTTTTGGTTTTTTTGTTGTATTGCTTTTGTATGCAATTGAAATTCTTTTAATCCTTGAGGATCAAAGTGTATCTTGTTGGGGTTTACACGAGGTTCTTCGAATCTCTCTTGACCCATGGTGTTAGTTGGGTCATTCAGTGTTTTCATTCTCTCATATCTTATAACTCTCTCTCTCTCTCTCTCTCTCTCTCTCTCTCTCGTTTCTTCTCTGACGGATCATATTCAGATTAGAGTTTTTATAGTGTATTCTTGATTGTTCTTGATCATCATTTAGGGAATAGAGTAGTTTAGGTGATTTGTAGTGAGGTTCTATATGTAAGTACATGAAAACCTTCTGCTTATTTGTCCTTAAATGATATAAAAATCGTTATTGTTGGGAATCTTTCGTTTCAATACTTTTTTCATGGTATTAGAGTCGGTGTGCTCTGAGTTTCTTCTCTGATAATCAAAGGTGCTTCGATCGGTCATCCATCTCAAGAGGTATAATCTGTTCCTTCTTTTTTGTTTTTTAATCTCTGATTATCCTTGTCTTCTTCACAATGTGTGTTGATTTAGAGTTTTTGTGTTAAACTCTGAATCGTTGACATAATCTATGAAAATCTACGATTTCTGGTTCCGATCTAGGGTTTCCATATTGGTCTCCCTAAATCAATATGTATGGTTCTTTCCTTTTCTATTAAGATTTTGGTTACCACGAGTACTTGTGTTCTTGCAGATACCTTGGAGATCTTGACTCTTCCGGTGGATCAGTGTGTTTTATCTTCGATCAACCAATCCCCGTTGTGGTTTTGAAATAACTATCTAGAGAACGAATTTTAACACCGATTAACTCTAGAGGGAACGGAACTAAGGGAGCCGATATGTTCTTTTGGTAGCCTGCACTTCAAAAGTGACTAATAGGACCTCTGTGAGGGTTCCTTGATCCCTTTTATCTCTTCTTCTTAGTTGTAGATGTGGGAGATCCTGATTGTCTTGAGTACACCAGTTAACTATTGATTTTGTCTATCTGTTTGATTGTTCTTTTTTCTTTTGTGTTTTTATTGACCCTGTGTTTGATTGTCCTGGACCTCAACATACCGTGGTGCTCTTCTGGACTTATAGTCATTACAGGTGTTTGTTTTCAATGTTCATTGATTTCTTACATTTGTTTGTTTGATTTTCTATTATTATGGCGGGTCCAACGGATGAGTATTCTAGTGCCACCAAAAAGGAATTTGTTGTTAATATTGACGACCCTTTTATGTTCATCCATCTGATAATGTTATCATTAGTGTAATTAATTTCAAATTGTCAGTAACTGAAAACTACAGGGTTTGGCGTAGTTCCATGATTAGGGCCTTAAAAGCTTGTAATAAGCTTGTCTTTACAGATGGAACTATTTCAAAACATAGTAATGATCCTGTTAAAGAATCAAAATGGGAACGTGTCAATGCTATTACCTATTCTTGGATCCTTGGGTCTATCTCTGAAAACATTTATATGTTAATCATGTTTATTCTGAAAGTACTCAAGAAATATGTATTGAATTGTTTGAAACCTATCATAAGGCAAATGGGTTACTCATTTTTAATGTGCATCAATAAGTCAACTTGTTTACTCAGGGTAGTTTATCTTTATCTGATTACATTAATAAACTTGATTCTTATTCGAAAGAATTTGATTGTTTAACTAAGCTTGATGATTGTACTTTTGAAGTTGCTAGTAGTTTTAACAATTATTCAAAATTAATGAAGTTAATGCAATTCTTGAGTGGATTAGTTGAGTTCTATAATAAGGTTAAAAGTCATATTTTGTTAATGGAATCTCTTCCTTCCATGAAGACTGCATTCTCCTTAGTTTCTCGTGAAGAGTCTATAAAACATGGTTCGAATTTGCTAAGTTCTAACAATAAAACTTTGTCTTCCCCATTTGTGTCAAAATCTGTTGATCAAAAGAAACCTAAGTCTAAGGGTCAAGTTTCTTAGTGTAAGAACTGTGGTCTCAAAGGTCACTCTATAGAAAAATGTTTTAAAATAATCAGATATCTGAAGCATTATAAACCAAGGTCTTAATCTAACAATCAGATTAAAAGTCTTTCTAGTAATTCTACTACTCGTTATCACTCTGAGTCTTCTATGTCTAGAGATAATGATAATGTCTGATTCTCGTTATCTTACTAATAAGCAATATGCTATGTCTCTTAAACTCATTGGTCACAATAAGCAAGGATTGGATGAAGCATTTGTCAGTGCCAATATGGCAGGTATTTCATGCGATTCCTTTCTCAATTCAAACTTTCATAAATGGGTTGTTGAATTAGGAGCTACTCAACATATGATAAAACTCTGATTCTTTTCTTCATGATTATGTTGATGTTTCCAGATTCAATTTGAGGTTCAGTCACTCAAATGGTTCTTTTACTCTAATTAATAAAATTAGGAACTTGCATTTATCAAATTCCCTCACTTTATTTGATGTGTTTGTTGTTCCTGATTTTAATATAAATCTTTTGCCTATTCATAAATTGTGCAAAGATAGTAAGTGTGAAGTTGTTTTTAACGAACACAATTGTTATACTCAGGATTCATAGTCCAAGGGGACGGTGGAAACTGATAATCAATTTGGAGGACTTTATTATCTTGATCCCATCATTTCAGGTAATAAGTCCTTTATCACTAAAAATTCTTGTTGTGTCTCTAAATTTACCTAGTATAGTAGGCTTGATCATCCTACTGAATAAAGCTTAAATGTGCTTAAAAACAAACTTAATTCAAATAATGTTTCTTTACTTCTTTGTGAAGTTTTTCATAAAGCCAAACAAACCAGAGATTCTTTTGTTAGTAGTCAACATGTTACCATGTCTTTAGGGCAACATATTCACCTATATGTGTGGGGACCATATCGTGTAGAGTGTATAGATGGATATAGATTTTTCTTGACTATAGTTGATGACTTCACTAGAGCTAACAAGGTTTTTCTTCTTAAATCCAAAAAAGAAGTCCATCAAAGTTATGTCACTTACTTTAAAATGTTCAAAAATCAGTTTCGTGTTAACATTAAAACTATTAGATCTGACAATGGAACTGAGTTGTCAAATTTTCATGTAAATACTTTTAATGAAAATAATGGGATTATTCATCATACTTCTTGTGTTTATATCCCACATCAAAATGGTGTTGTGGAGAGAAAACACAGACACATTTTAAATGTTGCAAAGTCTCTCAATTTTCAATCAAGAGTTCCTTCAAAATACTAGCGATGATCCTATTCTTACCTCAGTGTTTCTTATCAATAGAATTTCGTCGAGTCCCTAACCATTTACTCGTCCTTATCCATGACTCGACTCGTCGAGTTTGGCATCGACTCGACGAGTTCCTCTCTCCCATGAACATCGTATGAAACTCATATGGCTCGCCGAGTTGTATGAACACTCGTCAAGTCCACCTTCATCTGATGAACAAGTCATGTCCTTGACTCGTCGAGTTGTATGAACAACTCGTCGAGTTCATCTTCAATCTTAAGGAGATTGCCTTGGACTTGCCGAGTCCGTTCTAGTACTCATCGAGTTCCATGAACTCCAGGTCTAAAATTACGTCCAATGCATTGGGTCACTCTTTCTGTCCGATTACAACCCTTCTAACACTCAACTGAGTTCTTTTGACCCTTAACAGATATGGGACTCAAAGCCTTGGACTCGTCAAGTCCCAGGAACGGACTCGCCGAGTCGGTCACGTCCACACTCTAAATCCTCGATTTATGATGTACAACCTTTGATCAAAAGATAGATCCAAGCTTCTACAATAGATCTAGCACATAAAGTTACAAACTTGACGTGCTTGCATGGGACTTTGAGCTCAAAAAGACATAAAACAAGCTCTTATGATGCATGGGACCTTTCATGGGTGCAAAAGTAGCCCCCAATTGCCTTGTGACTCCCTTAATGACATGATTTAGAAGCTCCAACCCCCAACCATGTTTGCAATCATGGTTGGCCATCAAAAATGGCTTATAAAAGCCCTAAATCTCCCCAAAAAGGGATCTAAAAAATGAAAGAGCAAGGTTACAGCTTTTTACCTTCAATGAACTGTAGAAGGTGCACAAACTCGGGTTCCCTTGGTCTTTACTTGATTCCTCAATCTTTTCACCTTCCTTCTTAAGACCACAAGCACCAAAATCCACCAACAAGGCTTAGATTGCTTCAATAACGGCTAGGGTTTCAATGAGAGGTGTTATGGGAGCATAAGGGACATTGTGGCCATCATAACATTGCTTAAATAGGGTGCAAACCCTCGGATTAGGGTTTTTGTCCAGACAGAGTCTACTCGTCGAGTCCATTGCTTAAATCACGCGTCCCATCCCGCTTCTACTCGGCGAGTTGGTCCTTCAATTCGCCGAGTCCAAGGCCAAAAATGCAAAATACTTAGACAAAAATAAACGAAATATGTAACAAGAACCAA